CCCTACCCCCGGCACTCGCGTGCCGTGGTTTCCCGGTCCGTCCGAAGTAGAGTATGAGGTCAGGACTGCGCGGGCATGTTCCTATCAGTCCCTCTTCTTTCTGCTGGGCTTAGGGGTCGTCGTGCGACCCTCAGGCCATCGGCCCGCCCAAGCACCCGCTGTGTTATGGAGTGGCAGGGTTTGGGGCTTCGGTAGAACGGCACCGAGTACTGCGCAAGCGTTGAGTTTTTGAGTTGAGCCACCAGCCCCGAACACTAAACACAACACACCACCGGCCTCGTCCCCGCGCCCCTATGGCGATAAGCAGACTGTACGGCAGAGCCCCCCTCATGCAAGCGGGACACATACCCACAACATTCAAGTAGTGAGCTCCCCCCAGAAGCGGTCCCCTCTGCTGTTCTGGTTGCCGGCTTGGAGTCTTGCTTGCTCGCTTGCTGTGGGCTCCTTGGCCTGACGGTTTACCCCACAGTTTGCATCCGCCGAAGTCTGCGCGGCCCCTTCTGGGGTTGGAGCCCTTCTCCTGTGCATGTTTGCTTTGCTCTGCTTTGCTCGAGGCTTGAACCACAGGCAAGGAACCTGTGGCCCGCTCCGAAGAGCGACCTCCTCCCTGATTCTCCGGAGAGGCGACCATGGCGGCCGGTGGGGCCGTTTGTTTTGGAGCACATATTCCAGCACACTTTCCTCAGGTTCCCCTGGCGTTGGCAGGGCATGGGAGACCACCCCTCGAGTGTCTGACTTCTGTCGCGAGATCACGGCTCAGCCCAAACTGGAGGACCAAGTCCTGTGCATCCGTTAAGCTCCTCCTCCTGTTGCTTGCTAACTCTTTGGTTCTTGCCTGCAGCTTTGGCATGACTTCTTGATGGTTGTGCTGGTGGCTTACAAACCTCTCCACATCTGACAGGGTGTCTGTCAGAAGCTCCCCGGACAAATGCACGAAGTGCCCTGCTTGAATCGAGTCTCTCCTCGCTCAACTTCGCGTGGCTCCAGAGGGTGTCTGAATTCGGAAACCCTTCGACAAACAAAGAGAAGTCCAAGCGCCACTGCCTCCTTCCAGCTTGCCTTGAAGCTGTCGATAGAATCGTTTATCCTGCGGGCTCACAGAAAGATGCTTAAAACTTGCTTTCTTTCTCTCTCTTGCAATTTCAAGCCATGACAGCACCGCCGGCCTGAAAGCAACAACTCGTCGGCTTTCTCCAGACTTCAGGTATTCCGGAATCAATCTGGTAAAGCTTGTTTCTTTGAGCTCATCACCATCCCAGACCTCGGATATGCAGTCTTTCAAGTGGATAAAGTCTCTGCAGCAGCCCCAAGCATGTATCAGATCGAATTAATTGACATGCGCCACGGTGCCAAAAGAGAAGACCGGCTTGCTTCCGTAACCGCCTCCTGCGCGGACATCGTCGAGCTGCAAGTCATGCCGCAAGGTGATGCGCAAAAGACTCTGCGTCGGGCCACTGGTCGGATGTGCATTTCTTCAGAAAGCCTTTCGCACATGCACGCGCGCTGGCAGCCAACTCGGTGACTCGAGAGTTTCAGATGAGTGCGGAGATCTAGATGCCAGCAAGCCTGGTTGATTGAGTGAGTGATTGGGTGAAGTGACAGGGGAACGGCAAGCAGCTTGCACGCGATGTTCTGCAGATGTGTTCTTGTTGGCAAGCCAGCCTCAGTCGGATCGCCGTTGCCACAGTGGGGTAGAAGCTTGAAGGTGTCGCTGGAAGCTAGAGCAACGCTCAGCACACATGTTCCGAAAGACAATGCTCTTCTGCACCAGGTGCTGCAGCCTTCACGCTGCACGATGCTCAAAAAACAGTTTTTGCCTCACACGTTTTGCAGTCTCTCATGTGCTATGCAACATCCCCTAAGCACAGCCGCACGAACAATCCTGAACCGGATGTTTGTCAGCCGACGCCGAAAAGAGGCATTAAGTACATGTCCAATCTGATCTTTGAATACACACGGAAGCAAGCTTGCTCCCAGAATCCACATTGAGTGCATTCCTTCTATCGCTCGCTGTCTCTCTTATCCTCCTATTAACTCGTCCCCCAGCCGGCACGCACGGAGAGGCTCCAGCCATCAAAGAGTTCGCTCCACTCCGCTGGACTAAAATGCACCCTTCCACACCCAACAGTATCAGCAGCTCGAGAAGTCGGAAGAGCCCAGCAGGACTGAGCAGGAGAGGGGGGGTCCTTGTCAAAGAAGCTGGGCACGTTCCCACCGAAACCCTTCAGGTGTAGGATCTCGCTGGGCCGGATCTGTGCTTGCTCGAGCCAGGTGTGGAAGTGCTCCAATCGTACCTGCTCTCTACAGCGTATCCGACGCAGGCCGAGGACTGAAGAGGCTTTACGAGTAGCTGGTGCCTCCTCGATGCAAGCATCTGCATCTGCATCGGTCATTGGCACATTCTGATGGCAAAGTCTCAACAGCTGGGCAGCTTCACTGGTGCGTCTGCTTGCTTCATAGCGGCTTGCTTCCAGTTCAGTAGATGCTATTCCGATCCTTTCCGTTGCGAAGGCTAACGTGCTAGAAGTCTTCAAGAACCTCCTGTCCTGCTGAGCCGATGTCCAACGCCGTCTACAATTTGATGACAAATCCCCCAGGGCTCTTGTAAACCGCAGCTTTCGCTGCCACTGATGAGTTCCGGGTCTTTTTCTCCGAGCCTTTTCGGGGACACGAAGCCGCGCTGGCTAAGCTCCTGCTGTGAAGGAAATGCAGGGAAACATGGCTCGAAACTTTGGCCAAATGGACAGAGCGACTAGCTCTGGCAGCAAGATCATGCCGCACCCAACCAGATAACTGCATCTGCAGATGGTGGGCGCAGATGCTCCTGCATCGGCCTTCTACCCCCCGAGAAACTGCACACCTCAGGACCTAAACAGTGGTCCATGAGCAAGTTGGAATGCAACGACTGCGCAGATCGACGAGGGGTGACTTTGGAACATCTTGAGGCCAAGTGAAGGTTCACACGTCGAGATCATGCGCACTGGTAAGGTGAAATAATTGCATCAAGGGCAGCGCGCCCTCGTGTTGGTCTGAGTCTATGCCTCGGCCCTGAAGTGTTCTCGGGCTAAAGCTTCAGCGCTGAAAGCAATCCGGGCACACGAAGTGATGCTACATGCCGCGCAAGGCTCTCAAACTCATGAGCTGCATACTCCTCAGGCCACCCACAATCAGAAGCAAAACTCAGAAACGCAGGCTGAATCGCGCTGGATGACGATACAGTGGTCCGGAGCCAGCCAAGTATCGCGTTCCTCGCTCACGACGAGTCCGCTAGTCAACCCACGATGCCCGAAGATCACGAAGCCTTGGTGGGATTTTTGCCACGAGGAGGACGGCTTGCAGGACGCTGTCCTCAAACTCTGAGCAGTCAATGGTGCAGCCAAGCTTCCATGCCCTGCCAGCAGCTGCAGAAGAACGACTGCTTCAGCTATGTCTGCCTCTGTCGGTCCTGACATCGATCTCTGCACAGGACCCTGGCAGCCTCTCTGCACTCTCTCTACACAATGCCTGGAGAAAACTCGAAGGAGATTGCACGCAGCGGCCTGGCATAGCGGGGCCACACAAGGACTGCAATCAGTCTGGCGGGTTGCGATCTGCTTGAAGCAAGTTGCCCAGCCAGTAGTTTCGGTGCACTTCGCAGAGCTTTCAGCTCAGCTCCTTCGATGTCCATCTTCCTGAGCATGAAACTTGCTATGTTACTGCAAAATCTTTTCCCGTGATTTTCATACGGACGTCACATTGACTGCATTGGAGTCGTCGGCATGGCTTCACGCTGTGACGCCAAAGCCAAGAGCCCGTGTTGTGTCGAAAAGACCGTCCCGTCCAATCGTACCAGGCTTCTGTGTACCATCCTCTCCACTGCGCTTAGTTTCATGATGGCTTCAAGGCCACGCGTAACTGGTACTGGGCCGAGGGGTTCTTGCCGCGCGGCGGCGCCCTAAGTCTCAAATCGCGGCCCTGGCAACGGCTGGGCATGCTTTGCATCTCACGAAACCTTGGACTCCAAGCCCTAAACCCATAACAACTGTGTCCAAGACGAACCATACAAAACCACAAGCATGCATCGCCGTGTGTGGCAACGCAGTGCCACTCGTAACTACCACCGACTTCAGGAAGCAACCATCCGCGGAAGATCAGTCTGTTCAGCCATACCAGCAGCATCCCTGGCTCCGCCGTGGTCTCGCATCGCCCCAGCCGTCCAGCTGATTCAAACTGGATTTCAATCTTCCTCCAACCCCTCTACACTTCTCGGCCAAGTTGCATCATGCAAATGTCTGACAGGGAGCCACCAAGGCGGAAAGCCTGGCAGCTGAACGGTGCAATCCCGGACGTTTCGGGAAGTGCTCAATTAATTTAGTAGATGCTGGCTTTCAGTCGGCCTGCTCCTCCGCTATCTCGTCCAACGGGCGAGCAGGGACAATGCTGGAGAACTCGACCTAGATTCAAGGACGGTCCGCGTGATGTGAGAAGTGAGCTGCGAAAGAAAATTGACTGCTCTTTCACCCACAGGCACCAAAGGCATCTGATCTGCAGCAGCGGCGCTTTCCTGGCTGTTGCCCGTGCTGCATAAAGCATGCAAACAAAGTGACTCTCTCTCGACAGAAATCCGGCCTCAGCGCTTTGAACTATTGTGCTGTTGCCCGCGTCGAACCTCACGGCACGTGAGGAAATTTTCGGAGCTTCCTAGGCCTTTCGACGATGCAGCCTAGCTTCGGGTTCCGTCTCAGCTGGACAGTTCCAGCCGCTTCATCGACAGCGACAGGTGAAATCGCCACTTTTCCAAAGCCCAGTGTCGCATCCTTGCATGTGTGAGAGTTGTTGCAAGTGCTGACTCTGACAAGTACGTAATTTTCGTTCGTGAACTGAACTTGCCGCCGTGATTTCGGTTTCCAGCTGTGGTAGGCTGAGTGAGGCGTGCAGCATAAGCAGGTTTGATGGCTCAGGCTCCACAGCAATGACCCGGTGACCCATGGAAGCGAAAAGCAGTGTGCAGGCTCCGATGT